GGAGGGGGAGAGGAAAGGAAAAAGAAAAGATGCCTAAAGCAGAGAAATTCACCCAGAGACCTTGACAGGAAACAGGAAAGAAACGGATGAAGAGCCACAATTGTTTGGTGAAGAGCAGGGTGCCAGCCTGAGAACAGAAATGAAGGACCTGGACCCTTGGAACGTACACTTCAAATCACCTCCTTTTCCTCTGCTCTGTCTCCAGGCAGCGGGAAGGACACGCGTGTGTCATATTTACCGATACAGCTTTACTGAGATTTCACAAACATGAGAGTTGAACGTTTTGAAGGACAGNTTATTTACCAATAAAGCTTTACTGAGATTTCACAAACATGAGAGTTGAACGTTTTGAAGGACAGAAGGGGAAGAACAGCGGTTAGGTGGCTGATGTCTCGAGCGGTGAATGGGTGGGTTGAGTGCAGGGTTCGAGCGCCGAGGCCAGAGCTCGTTCTTCGCGTGCCCGCCTTTGTAGCCTCAGGTGCACGCATACGCGAAAGGCACCCACACGTTCACAAGGCACACGCAACACTGGTTACTGTCACCACCCGCACATCAGCACGCACACACTATTGGAAATCCTCCTGAGTGTCGCGGAGAGGCCAGCCCCGGGTGTGCTGGGGCTGCCAGGATGGAGGTACTCACGGTGGTGGCGGTGTCCCGGCTGAGCTGCGCGCTGCGGTGCCGCTCCTGCGGGGGTTCATCTGTGCCAACCGCAGAGTAGGAGACCTGGGGAGACGCAGACGCCAGCTGAGAGCGGGGCAGGGCTTCCCCACCTCGGCCGGATGGGCCCGGGGTCTGGGCGCACTCTCACCGTGGTGGGCGCTGGGTCCCTGCCTCACCTCACACACCCTACAGGGCACAGGCGTCAGGCACACCCGGCCAGGGTCCCCGGCTCGGGAGCCTGCCGAGGCCATGCCAGTGAGGTGGGCCGGGCAGGGCGCGACCCAGCTCCTGTTACTTTTTTCAAAACCATGGCTCTCAGGTAATCTTTCATTTTCTCACCTTTGATACAATGAGTCAGGAAACACATTTCTCTACTTTAAGAAGACAATAGGACAAGGGCGTTGATAAACGGCTACCCTCCCTTGGTGAAAGAATGAGACTAGGGGTGAGGGTGGGAGCGGGGCTCCGTCCTGTCTAAGTGGGCGGCTCAGCTCCAGCCCACGTCGTGCCCATGGGAATGCGGGCCTAGTGCCGCCACCTCTCCCAATATCCCCAGAGATCTGAGAACTCCACATATTTACCTGAAATCTTTAGACTTCTAAATGTTGAGTCATTTTAAAAAACACTGCTAGAAGAAAACGTTTTGAACTTCAGTCAGTCTAATTTGTAACCTCTGATAGGAAGGACGCATTCTCTCTTCCCCCTCCACTTTGCCAGTCCGCCCCTTTCCTTTAGCTCAGATTGTACACTACAGCACTTGGTATGGGTCGACAGCATGCCACAGTGACTCCCTAGTATTTCCCATGTTTCTGCTTTAGTCTCTGTATTTGACCGCAGGCAACTGGGTTCAAGAACCATGTCTTCTACTTAGTTTGTATTTTCCCAGCCCCCAGCAGAGGAAGGACCAGGTAGATCCTAACTGACCTTCAGGGCACTTACAAATGCCCTTGAAAGGGAAACATTTCCTCTGGCTTCAGGAGGGAGAATGGGGCAGTGACCGATATGGGAGAGCTGATGGAAAATCATATCCAGAGGAACAGAGGTGAGAAGGAGCACACGGTTATCCCAGCACACCCACTGCAGAAACCCGTGCCCGGGTACTCACGGTGTACCCCATGACGGGATGCCTGGGATGCCTTGGCATTTTCCACTGGATGCTGAAAGCCGTACAGTTCAATGCGTCCAGCATGACGTGCAGAGGAGGCCCCATCTTGCCTGTTTTGTTTTTGCCAAAACAAAAGAGATTGTGTTAGAAGGTCCATGCATCCTACCTTGCGTATAATTACACAGGACTTAAGAGCGGGTGCTTACAGATAGAGCAGGCAATGCAGCCATCTCTCCCATGTGACTTCACCTAACTCTGCCGTCCCCTCCCAACCTGGCACTGAAAGGGAAATCAGCCCAGCTACAGCCCTCAGGCCCTCAGGCCCTTCTGTTACTTCTAATACCTTAGGGACCAGTAGAGGGAAAGTGGGGCACCACAGATCAAATGCTCTGACTTGACTCCGGGAGCTTGGAATGCATTAAAGCAAGACGATGAATTTTTAAAATCAGTAACATACGGATGTCTTATATATGTGTTATATAGACTGGTCTTTACAGAGCCAGTATATTCCCATTGCAGAATGTTTCGAAATATGGTTCAGTGTCAAACGGGGGCTAGAAAATGTCAAACGTTTTATTGTACACTTACCTTAAATAATTTTACACTTAGACATAACAAACTTTATGTTCATAAAAACAGTATGTGCAGATTGCCAAAATTTTAAAAATACGGCAATAATACTAATTTCACCATTCAGAAGTAAGTCTTGTCAATATTTTAATAGAGTATGCCTCCTTTTAGTCACATGCAATTTTTAAAATACTTATGTATGCATCTATATTATTTTTATTCTATTTATTGTTGTGTTTATTATATATATATAAAATATATATATACGGTTTTACACCCTGGATTTCCTAGGACAGTTCTGATTCTAAACTATGTCTCGCCCGGTTGGCATGGCTCAGCAGTGGATTGATCTATGATCCAGGAGGTCGCGGTTTGATTCCTGGTTAGGGTACATGCTCAGGTTGCAGGCTTGATCCCTAGTATGGGGCGTGCAGGAGGCAGCCGATCAATGACTCTCTCATCACTGATGTTTCTATCTCTTTCCCTCTCCCTCTCCCTTCCCCTCTCTGAAATCAATAAAGACATATTTAAAAATTAAAAATAAATAAACTATGTCTCACAGCTCTGCCCTTGGATTCTTCACATAGTGGAAGCTAGAGGGTCATCGCCACAGGGCCTCATAGGACGTGAAGGCCTAGAGAATCCCAGCCAGGTCTCACACGTCCAGGGGAGGAGTGAGGGGTGCATGACCAGGGCCCTGGCTTCGTGTCTTCATGAAGATCCTAAACTAGAGTTGGTGGGGAGGCCCAGTGCTCCACGCATGCTGCCTTCACATAGATTTACTCATATGTCCCCACACACTGACTGGAAGACTTTCTTTCTCAAACTAACATTCATATGATACTGCAATTATTATTAATATTTTGATTTTCAGATCATTTTAAGAAATAAAATTGGAGAAATATTTGCAAACCATATATCTGATAAGGGATTAATACCCCAAATGTAAAAGGAACTCATACAACTCAACAGAAAAATACAAAGAATCTAATTTAAAAATGGGCAAAGGACCTGAATAAGCATTTTTCCAAAGAAGACATACAAATAGCCAACAGACACATGAAAAGGTGCACCACATCACTAATCACCAGGGAAATGCAAATCAAAACCTCACACCTGTTAGAATGGCTATTATCACAAAGCCAAGAGACAACAGTGCCGACAGGATGCAGAGAAGAGACAATCCTTGCGCACTGATGTAAGATCGTATCAATGGGGCAAACACAGAGATGCTGAGAAACAAGGCAGAGACAGTCTTCCTCTTTCCGCTCCTTAACGTGGGTGTTCTCGGCGGCTGTGCCCAACCTCCTCAGCTCCCACTATGCCCTCTACCTGGGTGCTCTCATCCCTGCCAGTTGCTACCACATATATGCTGCTGGCTCCCCAATCTATTTCTCTAGGCCAGCCGTCTCTTTCAGAGAGGCAGGCCTACGTACTCAACTGCCCAGTGGACCCAGATGTCACCTGGGCCTCTCAGAGTCAACATGTCTAAACTGAATTCTTCATCTTTCTCTTCAACCCGAGCCTCTGCAGCAATCCCCGTCCTGGTAAACAGCATCGCCATCCACCATGACTTCCAGTAACCTGGCAGTCACCCTCGGCATCAAATAGGTCACATGGTACCCATCCTCTCTTATTCATGGGGGGGCCTCAGAATCCTCTTCAACCCAGTGCCTGGAGCAACCCTACCAGTGTTCAGAGCTGTTGGGGCAGTGGAACCTGCTTGCCACTGGTCAAGACTTCCCCGCTGGCATCTCTGGCCTTTCTGGCTCCTAAGGGATAGTTTCCTTCCCACAGCTTCTACAGCCTGCACCCCTCTGAAGAATGCGTGTTAGTAAACTAAATGAAACTTTTTTTCTGCAAAGCAGCTGAATGAAACATGAAGATTGTTAGGGCCATAGGGCTGGTGGCTTTAAAACTTGGAGTAGGAGGGCTGAAGAATGGCCCCTGATTGGAAGGAAGCACCAGAGGCCTGGTCTGAAGGCACATTTGCATAGCAACACAGCATTTTTCTCCGGGTGTGTTTGTTGGAAGTGTCCTTGAGGGTGGGACAGGTCTCTAGCTGGGGGCCATCTGAAGCTGTATTTGCAGACCAAGCACAATGCTTATACACAGCTTGAACAATTATTGGCATATGTATGGAGCAGGATAAGCTAACGGCAGGAGAAAAGCACGCCTCCTCCCCCAGCCCCCAAGATAGAGTCCAGGCAAGGAAGGGTGGTGGACCAGAAGGCCAGAGAAACCAGCAGGAAAGGTCTTGACCACATGGCTTGATGTGAGCTTAGGAGACATCTATGTGATCCTAATCCAGGTGAGCCAATCAAGGTGTTTCCCTAAGTCTTTTCCAGCTACCAAGTGAGAGATAAGAGTGAAACGAACTTTTCTCACATCTCTACAATTTCTGAGTCGCCAGGAAAAAGTCTAATCTTTGGAAATGTCAAGCCCCAGCTGCCTTTTCCAAAAACTGAATGAAGCAAAAAGGTTTTGATAATGGTTATAGCACTGAGGTCTTCTGGGATTTTATCTATTATAATATAAAAACATACCAACGTTTCCTCAATATTAAAAAAATCAAAGTAGTAGGCCACTCACATGTGGACTGAGCAAGATTTTAGCGGTTAGATGCAAAAATAACACTCATATTTAACCAACAATGGTTACAATGACAGAGAAGTATATTACACAATAGAAAACTAATTTTGAAGAACTGTAGGCTTTAAAACTAGTATGATGCATTTACACAATATATCCTGAAGCTGTGTTCTTGTGAGCTAAACCTATACTTCTTAAGACATAAATAAAGAAAGAGTGTGTCTCTTTGCCATGAGGGAGCTGTACTCTGGGCTTTCTTCATTGGAGGGCTTTCAAAACCATATTAGGTTTTTGCACCAGAAACTTCTGAATAATTAGGTCAATTTCTTATGGTAATTTTATTTCATCAAATACTTCAACTTCCTGAGAAAAATTCATCTCTGATTCAATTAGTTTTGTGATTCAATTCATAAAAACACTTCAAAATGCAAATAAAAATATCACCTGTGACAGAAGTACATCGCCAGCTTTTTAGTTATTTGATTTTCACGGAATGAACCACGTTAGATTCTGATGCACTGGAAAGTGCCCGGACTAACTAAAAATAGTTGGGGAATTCTGAATAGGAAAAAACCCTATTTCCATCTTTTTGAAGCTTGCTCCAACTATTATTACTACAGTAGGGCTAAGAATATATAACCACAGATCTGCCACTAGGCCAGTTCCAAGGTGATGCCTTCAAGCAGCAGTAAAAATGTGAGTTGAAGACATAGACCAGTGTTTGTTCTAGTTACCCAGGGATCCTAGTTCAACACTAGGAGCAGCATGAAATGTTACCAGAGCCCTGTCGGCTTCTTTTGTGGGGACGCAGGGTAGAACTCACATCACATTGTGTTTCCCTCTGAAATCCATCACCTTAGTGTGTAATTCCAGAGAGTAACCCACCACTCCAGAGTCTAATTCCAGAGAGTAACCCACCACTCCAGAGTCTAATTCCAGAGAGTAACCCACCACTCCAGAGTCTAATTCCAGAGAGTAATCCACCACTCCAGAGTCTAATTCCAGAGAGTAACCCACCACTCCAGAGTCTAATTCCAGAGCATAACCTACCACTTCTGGCTAATGACCCCCCATGGCTGCTGGAGTGTAGCATCCCGGGCTAAGAGGACATGCCTGCTGAGAATCTGGGGACCCCCCCCACCTGTAGGCCAGTCCCTGAGTACCCAAGACCCCAGATTCCCTGCCTAGAGAGTCCTGAGCCTGTTTCCAGGTCCTTGGTGGCTTCTTCCCCGGGTCTGTCCTTCTGAGGGTGAGCATGTGGCTGGAGCACACACCCTCGGGGGGAGAGGTGGCCAAGGGACTGCTCTTTGCCAGGATGGGTGGTGCACAGAGCCTGCAGGTTGAGGGGTCCACCTCCACACACAGGAGCACCCTTCAGGGAAGGGCAGAGCGAGGTGAGTCAGACCAGGGCTCAAGGGCCAGTTCTCTTCATGCTGCCTCTTTCCAAAGTGGAAACTCAGGGAGTCTGAGAAACCCAAATTTGAATGTGGTCTTCCAGGTCATGACGAAAGTATATTTGTCAGGGTTAGAAGGAGAGCAAGTATCGCATCTTACAGTTTGTTAGCTTATTGAATCAATTGTGAGTTTCTACACAAATGATTATGTGGGCGTCCACTGAACTCCCCACCTGTTCCAGATTGAGCCCCACTGTGAGTCTCATTTTTCCAGATGATCTCATTCATTCCCGTGTGCCCCAGGCATCTGCCAGATGCACTTTTTCAAGTAAGCTCCACATGGATATCTAACGGGTCTTCTCAGCCTTGGTGGTTCACAGCCCCTCAAACTCCAAATGTCCCAGATGGTAACCATCATCGTCAGCCTCCAAATCTCCTTCTCTCCCACATTCCCTTTAGTCCAAAACCTGGGAACACCTTTAATTCCTCTCTCTTATGTTCTAGATGCAAATCTCTACGCTGCTCCCGGCATCCCATAGAATGTGACCACGAGG